ATTAACAAGTAGGTACATTCCCCACCCCTCTGTAATTTGGAGACCACATAATGCTCATTAAACACGGATATACGAAGTACCAGAACAAAACGCCTCGAATTAAAGCACGAACGTCTGGCTTGTAATTAACAAGTAGGTACATTCCCCACCCCTCTGTAATTTGGAGACCAAATAATGATAGTATCTAAGTACGTTTATTTCATGACATATTGCTACACGAGTACATAGACTCGACTCTCACGTACTCCAGCGAATGAACAAGTCACGTTATTGTCACACGAAGCTTGGCACCACGTCAAATTGACCCTCTCTGATTGGTTTTTTTTTGTGAATAGTACAGACTAAGCCTTTGCAGAATGCTATCTAGATTACATTAAGAGGATGTTCTGGAAAAAAAATGTTATCCAGCTCCTGTAGTGAGCTGAATGAAATGTTTTTACAATACTCTTATTTTTGCCTAATTGTTTATTATTTGTTCTAGAATACCTAATGGTAACAATGATATCTACCTTACGTTTCAATTGTAAATTTCGTAAAAAAAAAAAAAACAATTATTCGCTAATACATATATAATCTTATTTTAAGCCTATTACAGTTTTCTCTCTCACTGTCTTCCGGTGGGACAGCGCCAAGTCTACGGATTTATAACACTGAAGTCAAGTGTTCGATTCTCCTCAGTGGCTTTGCACACACTTTTTCATTTTCGCATTAATTAAATGAATATATCTAATAAACAGAGGGAGAGATTATTCTACAATGAAATAATATAAAATACATTGTTAAATCACACAAACAAAGGGGAACTTTATACAGTTTGTTTTAATTATTTTCATTTTTGTTATTTCAATTCTGGAAATCTTTATCTGGCTTAGTTTGGGGATTGTTTCAACTTTTTTTTTTCTATAATGTGTTTTGAAACAAAAGAAAAGAAATTATAGACAAAGATTACTTTAATCCGATTTACTTAGCGTTATATGAAATTAATATTTAAAGTGTTTAACATTAAGCTAATAGCATCATAATAACGAACTGGGTAGATTTCAATACATGATTCTCTATTGGAGCTCCTACAAGTGTAATGAAACTTTAGAGATGTTCAATATAACACGTTTTCAGTTGTTATTTCACTACCGATGCAAAAGTAAAACACCAAAAATTAAATCATATATATAAGCAAATCCCGTTAATCCTGCGCTTTTGTTTACATTTTTCTACTCGTTGTTGGTTTTCTTTTACCGTTTTTACTTGTTAATTTTTGATATGCCAGAACGAATGTGGAGATCTTTATTCCTAAATAAAATGTCCTGTAAAGTACCTGTCTTTAACACTGTTTTCTAACTTCACAGCATAATTAATAAGTTCTGAGTGAATTCAAGTTTTAATTTTCTTAACGTATTTCTACATGGTACAAGTTGGAACTCTCTAGATGTGGCTAACGTTACTGCGCGTTTGTTTTCACGGCCAAACTCTCCATCAGAGTACACTCACAATGTTTACAGTTGCGAAACAGAATATTAGGGGCTGCAAATTTTTAATTCTGACAAATTGTCATCATAGATAAATTGCCAATGTCACATTTATGAGTGAATAAAAGATAATAATATTTTGAGACAAATTCACAAACTTTGAGAATTTAATAATACACTTTCATTTATACAAGTAACAGGGCAAAACTAAAGACCGTGAAGTACTGATACGTGAAATATCAACCTGTATCTTTGCAAAACTAAAGACCGTGAAATACTAATACGTGAAATATCAACCTGTATCTTTGCAAAACTAAAGACCGTGAAATACTAATACGTGAAATATCAACCTGTATCTTTACAAAACTAAAGACCGTGAAGTACTAATACGTGAAATATCAACCTGTATCTTTGCAAAACTAAAGACCGTGAAGTACTAATACGTGAAAAATATCAACCTGTATCTTTACGGTTTCGTTTGTTAATGTAATTGAAAATATATAATAATCAGGTCAATATGTCAATAAACGCCCCCCGCTAGTGGCACAGCGGTATGTCTGCGGACTTACAACGCTAGAATCCGGGTTTCGATACCCGTGGTGGGCAGAGCACAGATAACCCATTGTGTAGCTTTGTGCTTAACTTCAAAAACAACAACAAAAAACAACAGTTGTCAATAAACTAAAATTAATAATAGTTATAATAGCACCAAAAATGTCTTACCTCTGTGTGCGAGAATCCGAACCGTGCAGAACTGTCGTAATGATTACTATAGAAAATATCGCGAGATTATATGGTGCACGTGGAAACATTTTGGTGTTTCGAATATTTTGTTTCAACATATTGCCATCCGTAGCGTCAAAAACTGAGCGCGCCGACATGTACGCGTTAATAGCAGAGAGGTAGCTTATCTTGTGTAATGAAGTTGCTCTCGTGGAAGTGTAATCTCCAACCTAGGGGTCTTTTCAAGTTAGAGCTTGCGCAGGAAACTGTTCGTTTGTTTTGAAGTTAAGCACAAAGCTCTGCCCACCACGGGTATCGAAACCCGGTTTCTTGCGTTGTAAGTCCACAAATATACCGCTGTGCCACTGGTGGGGGGGGGGGCGCAGGAAACTAATATTATTTAACAACACAGAAATATGCCGTTCAGTGTAAATGAGTGAGAAAACCGGATGGTTGTGAAATGCGCATAAAATTATTATAAATTACAAAATACTGTTATTTGAAATAATATATGTTTTATGTTCTCACACACATCACCTGCATACTAACCCTGATAAATAAAAAATGTGGATTCTGCAAAGATGTTACCATGAAAAATCCATATGTTGTTAAGTTAATGTTTATAATTCGAAATTGTTTTCTACGTACATGTGTATGTTTTTATAATGGCGCATTATACGTAAGAACAATTAACTCAAAGCCTACAAAACACATTTCAATAGTAAACTGTCTGAAATATATACATAGTGCACAATTATAGTATTTTATTCCAGTAAAAATTACCTTCAGTCTCTTGTTTGTTTAGTTTAAGCGTAGGGATATCATAGCGAATTTTTGGCGTTATACAGAAGGTTGTGTACGTTATATTAAAACGATTGTAAATATTCAAATTACCAAGTCACGTGACAACGGCCTATATAAATTCGTGGTGAAACGGCATATAACAGAACCAGATTTTAACATTGTTTGGTGTTACGAAGGTAGTTTGATGCCATATAAAATTCGCTGTTTCGGGAAGTATATGTAACAGTCCTTTCCGATGCAAAATATTCATACCTCAGATCATAAAGATGTGTTCAGATAGAGGGTTTAGAATTGCCAAGGTGGAGATATATCCTTTGTACTTAATGGCTTTGGAAAACAAACGAATATGGATCAAATTGGGAAAACGGGACCATCTACAAAGAGACCTGCAACAAGTCGTATCCCAACTGCTGTAAGCAGTCTTGTAATAAGTGAAAATCAACGAATACAAAAGACAAAGGAAAAAGCCGTCTACGTTCTCCAAGCATCATTGCACAACATAATGAAGAAGAATTTCCGTCTAGTAAAGCAACAGAAGCTGCTTTCACGACATATCACCTCAACAGTCACATACCCCAAAAAACTACAGAAAGAAACGGGTATTCATCCTTTTCCGTATGAAAGATAACGTTCAAGTTGCCTAAGAATTTCATTGCAATCAGACTATTGAAACGGGTGCTAGAAAACTGTCGTCTTCGTACACTAGAAGGCTTATAGAAAGCCTGCATGGAAAATAGATGTAATTTGGACAAGAAAGACTTACGACGGAGCCTTTTACAAGAGAAACTACGTTGCAAAGCTGTTGCCAAGATGCATGGCCATCAGATAGAGTACATGGCTTCAACATCTTTTTTAGGGTAACGCACTCAACCAGTGTAAGCCTTCAGACTTTCCACTGTACAGTCTTTATAGTGGATATCCTCTATTGGAAAATGTATAATGCTATTTTAACTCGAAGCACCCTTATCAAAATATGTTTCACTTCTGGGAGAAAAAAAACTTATCAACAATGGCTTTACGAAACCGTTGTGGTAAATAATTTGTTGTATTAACCGAAACTTTCTCGAGTTATTCAAATAAACAGTAGTTCAGCTGATATTTGAAGTAGTGTCAAAGGGATCTTTCACTACATCATAGAGCTGCCAAACTGAAACTACATAGTTAGGTCCATATAAAAACAGAACATCTTAGTTACCATAGTTCCAGCAAGTTTATTATTCAACATTTGAGTTTTAAAAAGTTAAGACTTATATAACATATATGATTTGGAAAATAGCGCAATATTCAGTCATTTCACGAACGTCCTTAATTAGAAGAAACTCGTAAATATTTGGTATTTTCAAGCTTAACGTCATAACAGCCAGATCAGGGATCATCCAGGGTTAAGATATAGTATTCCTTAATTTTAAACTATTAAACTAAAGGGAAGCCAAACAGCCAAGCAACATCCATCACCACAAACATCGACATCGCCGTGAGAATCTTGGACCTCCTGATTCGCAACCCGGCATATTAACCATGAGGCCACGCTCGATCCATTAAAGTAACTACTCCTTTGTCTTTGATATTGATGAGAATAGAGCTCAGGAGACTTAAATTCCAAGGAGCGCGTCGCAAGATGCCTCGTTGTTACCATCCAAGTTACTTTCAAATAAGTTTGTCATTTCTCAAAATGCGATGGTTGTGACTTTGCTACTGATTCAACACAAGGTTCGACCTCTATATGGCACAAGTTTTATCACAACATTTCTGGATAATAGTCAGGTCGTGCAATGAATGTATTGTGCTGTTAGTTTGTTTATAAAAAAGCATATCTTCTTAAGGAGATCGTCAGTAGCGTATAGAACATAATGTAGTGCATATTAATTATTTATTAACTGCAAACCTTGAAATAGTTATTTTTATCAAGGTAGCAATTTTAATGTTTTTAATCATGTTAAATCCATACTCATTGTGTTTAATTTTGTATTTTAAAAGACACGTCCCTTATAAAAATCAATGTTTCGATACCCGTGGTGGGCAGAGCACAGATAGCCCATTGTGTAGCTTAATTCCAAACAAACTGCCCATTTTTTTGTAGAAATAACATTAGGAAGTAACTATCGTCTGTCAAGAATGATTAACCTAAAGTTAACAATCTGGAAACCTATTGAGTAGAAGGTGTATAAAAGATGAAGGGATGTGTGGTTGGATAACAAAAAGGAAATTTTATAATTTTGAGAGTGTCATGGTGAATGGATAATGGCAACAAGAACAAAAGTAGTTTTGATAAAACTCAAAACGTAGCTTGCGGGCTAGTGATGATTGGTTACAGTAATGATTTGTGATTTAAAGTTTAAAAAAGAAAAACTTTTCCGCGAATCGTTTTCTCGTTTCTTTACAAACTTGCTGTTCGTTTATCACTCTTTCAACTTGGGAATGGTATAAAAATAGCAAAGAAGCTAATATAATGAAAAGTCACGTTGAAATATTCCCTCTCCGTCGACAAGAAGAAAGACGCGGCATGACTTTATTGAAGTTTGCATTTGGTTTGACGACGTAGAAATATTCTAAATACACTACGGTTCCAGATATTAGATCTATAGAAAAAATTTATACAAAATTAGAGACTATAGTTGTGACTTGTTATATAAAAGTACAAAGTATTAAAAATGTATCTCAAACTCGTCCACAGATTATCTTGGTTATCACCTATTTTATTAATATTAATATGATTTTATGTACCTATATATCGTTACTATTTATGACATTTATATTGTTTGTTTGTTGAATTTCGTGCAAAGCTACACGAGGGCTATCTGCGCTAGCCGTCCCTAATTTAGCAGTGTAAGACTAGAGGGAAGGCAGCTGGTCATCACTACCCACCGCCAACTCTTGGGCTACTCTTTTACCAACGAATAGTGGGATTGCCCGTCACTTTATAACGCCCCCACGGCTGAAAGGGTGAGCATGTTTGGTGTGACGGGGATTCGAACCCGCGACCATCAGATTGCGAGTCGAGCGCCCCCTAACCACCTGGCCATGGACAGTTATATGAAAATCTACGTAGTTCACGTAAATTACTAAACACCAGTTTCGATTATTTTTGTTATATAGATATATATATTGAGAGAGAGCCTTGTTCGTAATGTTTGCTGTGGCTTGGGTTACTTTTGTGACGGATTTATTATTCAATATTTATTTTAATATCGATGTTTGTTTAGATA